ATTGCCGGTTCTCTAGTTCAGCCTACCACCGTCTCTCTCCCTGACTCATCTTATTTATCCTCTCTCCTTTGTTACCTTTTCCATGACACAGAGTCTCAGCTCACGCTGCTGTAACAGAATGCCATACATTCTGGTAGTTTAAACATCAGAAATATATTTCTCACATTCTGAAGGCTGGAGGCAGGGTGCCAGCATGGTTGGGTTCTGTTAAAGAGTAGAGTTTCAACATATGAATTTTAGGGGAACACACACATGCAGACCATAACATACAACATTGGTGATTTCTGAAAAATGCCAGTTTGCTAAAGTCAAATCCCTGCTAAAGCCTTTACTGTGGCATACAAGACTCTGCATTACTTGGGCCAACTTACCTCTCTGGGTTCACCCAAGCTGCTCACCTTTGCTAAGCATAGTCTGGCCACACAGATCTTTATTAACTTCAACTTCCCAACCCTGTCACCTTTGAACTGTTTTCTACTGCTACTTCCCACTCTTATCTAGTTGGTTCCTAATGACTTAACAAATATCAGCAAAACTTCACTTTTCAGGGAAATTTACCTGCCAGACCAGGCTATGACCCCAAAATGTGTTTTCTTTTTTAATTGATTTTTTGGTGGGGAAAGAGAGAGGAACATCAATCAGCTGCCTCCTGCAAGCCCTCAACCAGGGGTCAAGCCTCCAACCCAGGCATGTGCCCTGACTGGGAATCAAACCAACAACCCTGCGGTACACTGGACGCCACCCAACCACCTGAGCCACACTGGCTAGGGCAATGACCCCAAGTTTTATACTTTCAAAGACATCTTTGATTTTTCCTTTCAAGTTTTAATCGCAATTTGTTACTAATGTATATTTTCATTTATGAGATTACTAGAGGCCTAGTGCACGAAACTCGTGCACCGGGGGGGGGGGGGGTGTCCCTCAGCCTGGCCTGCGCCCTCTTGCAGTCCCAGAGCCCTCGGGGGATGTCCCACTGCCAGCTTAGGCCCACTCCCCATGGAGGCAGGAGAGGCTCCCAGCACTGACCACCAGAGGGCAGCTCCTACATTGAGCATCTGCCCTCTGGTGGTCAGTGCATGTCATGGCGACTGGTTGTTCTGCCATTTGGTTGATTTGCATATTAGCCTTTTATTAGATAGGATTACTCATTATTTAAATTTGTTGTACACTGCCAGAGTACACTACACTGTACTAGATTACAAGCTCCGTATCCCTATGGCTCACCTCTAGAGCCCCCTGCTAGATTAATATTTCTTAAATAAATTGAATGTTGGGTATATCAATCCACCATGCTCTTCTCCTGGTCCTTTGGGTTCATCCAACCATATAATTTGGAGCATTGTAAAAGAGCAGGCCTGGAGGCCTTAGAGTTTCTAATCCCCACCCCCACGTTGTATAATAAGTGGAGAAATAAGACTAGAAGGCAAATTGAGAAAAGTCACATAATGAGCTTATACAAAATCAGCACTAAAAATCAGGTTTTTGGTTTCTCAGTTCTCTGATATTTCAGAGAGTCAAATCTTTCCCTTTTCCATTTTCTTATCTCCAATTTTTTAGATTGACATCTTTTCTCTGCTTATAATTTAATATTGGTAGAGAAATGTATTCTTATCTTATCAAGTAAAATATGGTTGTTATTAAGGGTTGTCATTCAGGTTATATCTGCCCAAGCAACATGAATTAGATAACTTAATACACCTTGACTTCAAACATTGGTCATCAGATATTTTAACTCTGCATTTTAAACCTGTTGAGCATTTTGGTCCCACCATTTAAACCCAAAAATGATTTTTAGTCTGCGTTAGTTAATACAGAAGCATTAATCATAATTATGCCAATATTAATGAATGTTCCTCAAGAAAGAATTTACCAGAGCAAACTCCATTAAGCTAGTTTAATTCCTTAATCAATTTTCTAAACAGTATACTTGAAACCATTTCTGAACTTTTTAGAAGTTTTCCTTAAAATTATTGTGTGTAAAATAATTTCTTCTGCATGTATAGCAAAGGTTTGATCCATCATAAACTTTTCTGTTTCCAAGTTTACTGATAATTTCAATCATTGAAATTTTTTTCTGTTGTGTCCAATTTCTGTCAAATCCAATTTTCCTGTACCAAATTATGCAGATATAAATGTTTTCTTTCAGTATTTAGTTCATAGCTATTTAGTCTTAAGCACTTTAGTGCTTACTATTTTTTATAAAATTGAATTTCTCCAAGTCATTTTTTTGAGTTTTAAAGAGTTATTATCAAGTTTTGTTGTTGTCTTTATAGTTAGTTTCATCTATAATAGATTTTGCTCTCTACGATTTCATCTCTTATAAGGTTTATTTTCTGGTGATTATTTCTATCAGTTAAATGCAGTTCGAAGTGGACAAAAATCTGTTTTCTTTTATTTTTTTCTTCCGTAAGCACTGGGAACATCTTTAGTGATTTCCTTTGATATTCCAGGATTGCTCTGTTTTCCTGGTAAGGCATGGAAATGGCTAAAGACAATCATGTTTTGATTAGATTGTGACTTTATGACATTTTAGATTGGAAGAGAAAACAATTTAGCTCTAACACTTCTCATCCCAACCCTCATTTTATAGGAAACAGGAAAATCAAGGGCCAGAGAGTTTATCTGACTTGCCCAGCATCACAGAGAGAACTGGATGTTAAGTCTCATGACATCCCAGGACACTTAGAGGGGAAAGCATGACCAAATTGAACTTCACACTGAGTACACTTTCCAGAGAGGAGAAGCTGGCTCTTTTGTTACTATGACAATGAAGTGCATTTGAGATTTTTTGAAGAGCTTGCCCCTACCTGTGCTACTAGGGGAAACAGAGCCATGAAGCTGATTCAAAACACTTTGGATAGATCCTGTCATAAGCTTTATAAGTTCCTGATGGATTGTGAGGAATTAAGTTATTGGGCAGAGAACTAGCTAATGGAAACACATTGATGAAATCATTTTTGAGGGACATTAAATGGAACTTAAAATAAAGCTGAAATGGCTTTATGGATTTTTCACTCAAACTGTTTATGAACATTTCTTGCTAGTAAATTATATTGTGTCAAAGAAGGAATAAGTAGGTATGGTTTTAATAGAAACCCTTTTGAAATAATAAAATGGAGAATAATTTATTATCCAAGAATAGGTAGAGAGGGTAGGATGGGGGAATTGATGCTGATGGATGCTTCTGGGAAAATGAAAAGCAGTGTGAAAATCAAAAACCTGTGATAGTACTTGAAAAGAAATGGTTTTTTTGAAAAGTATTAGTAACTCATCTCAGTGTACATAGAAACTTTTTTTAGAAGAGGGGTGACAGGGAAAGTAGCAAGTATTACTTGAGGATATAAACATTGATATTTGTCTATCTCATAAAAAGATGAGCAAGTAGTGAGTGACTTAATCTGCTGAAAAAGACAGTGTATCATAGCAGTCAAGGTCATCTGTTCCAGAGCTGAAATAACTCCGTTCAAGTCCTGGCTCTCCCTCTTTGCTGTGTGACCTTAGGAAAATTTCCTAACTTCTCTGAGTCTCAGATTCCACATCTATATATATAAAAGTTTAAGCGACCTAATGAACTACCCACTGGTAGACCAGTCGCTATGATGCACATTGACCACCAGGAGGCAGACGCTCAATGCAGGAGCTGCCCCCTGGTGGTCAGTGCACTCCCACAGCCAACCTCCCGTGGTCCCTCCCCCCGCCAGCTAGCCCGATCGGCCCGATCGCAGGCCAGGCCAAGGGACCCCACCTGTACACGAATTTGTGTACCAGGCCTCTTGTCCATAATAATAGATATTTATAGTCCTTAGCTCACACAAAATATTTGCTTAGAATAATAGTTATTGTTCGCCAGGATATTCTTTGAATGACTATATGTAATGTTAAGTCGAGTTATTATTTTCTGATTTTACTTACAATAGTCTTTACTCATATCAGAAAGATGAAATATTTCCACAGTTGCTACAAAAGTAAAGAAATCAGTTCTTCCCCCTCGGCTCCTCAGTATGCCGGGATAAATCTGGATTTGGAATGACAGCAGTTAATGGAGGATTTTTAGATACCATAACAATTGCAGGAGGATTCTAGAAATTCACGTGTGAATGCAAAATATTATTCTGCCCCTTCTTACAGCATCAAAGAACTATACCAAATGTATAAAAATAAACACCTTTGCCTCACAGTACAGGATATTGCCTAGCTAAGTTTAATTGAAAAACTAATATCCACTGCAATTGTCTGTGATAAACTGAGGCTTAAATGATTTGAAGACACTCTGGGAGCAGACAAATCAGATAATCACAATCTTTATGGCTAGAAAGGTTCAGCTGGCATTGACAAGTTGTGAAGATAAAGGCTTAGAGCAAAGTCAACAGCTAAATGTCTAGACTGGGTTGGGGATCAATGTTAATACTCCAAGTGTAAAAGTGCTGAACTTCAAATGATCCCCCACAGTGTTGTGTTTAACTTCTCCAGATAATAATAGTGTAGAACTTTATTTACTGAAAAACTTCTGTCAAATTGTCATTAGGCAAATATCTCACATTCTTACGGTGCCTTCCACCATGTAGCATCCCTGCCACCGCGTAGGCATTATGGTCTGTGGTCTGTGCCCTGGCTGCACTCTGAGGGCTTCAGCTGCTGTTTTCCCAAACATTTCCACTTGGGTGACTATGAATAGTTTATGAGGGACCAGAGTCAGACTGTGCCGATTCTAGGCATCTTTTTTAATTTTTTTTTTAAGCCGACATGGAATTTGCCTCATGGCCTCACTCTGATCTCAGCAGGAACACTTTCAAAAGAGCTTCCTTGTTTTTTCAAAGGCTGTTTGCATGAGTTGATTTAATGCTCTCCTATTATGGAGGCCGAAAGCCAGTGGCAAAAAAAAAAAATATATGTGTGTGTATTGAGTTGTGTTAAGGATTCACTGCATTTAGCTGGTTGTGCCCCCAGGTAACACATCCAGCAGTCTCCAACTTCTGTTTGCTTTTTTCTCTTGTTTACAGGAGCAGAGGGCACCGTGTTCCCTAAATCAATAGAAACACCTAACGTCAGGGCAGACCCCTTCAAGGAACTAAGGTAAGCTTCTGACTTTGCATTCATCGATTTAGCGTCTGTTTCCTTTCTCTGTGCCATGGGCTGATGATCCATTTTGAATCCGTGTAATGTAACAGCATCACAGCATGAATATGTAAACCGGAGCAGTTAGAAAGGACGAGAAGAAACTGCAACCAGGAGAAAATGTTCTCTGAGGACCTAAAGTTGAGGGTTTGAAGGAAGAGGTTGTCCGCCCTGTCATTGTGAGGTTTAGGATTGATTGTTGCAGTGTGTGTTGCTTGCTGTATTTTGTGGTACCAAAAACGTACCCAGTTAGAGAACTCTTCAGTAATCGGTGCTGATCAGCCCAAAGTAGAGTGATATCTCTGAGAAACTGAGCTCTAAATGCAATGCAGATTTTTATTTTCCCTAATGATATGGTGGTAGAACTACCTCCGTGGGTATTCCGTGTACTGGTTGGTGTTCATCTTTGGGTGTCTATATGGGGGCTGCCTTTAGCAGAAAAGGATTCTACAATGTTGTGTTCTTACCACCAATTATGGAAAACCAAAAAGAACAATAGGCATACAGACAGGCAGCTAGATAAACAAACAGAAATAGAGAGGTGGCTTAAAAACCATTCCTGCCACCTAACCACCATCCCCAACTTTCCAAAAGAAACACATAAAACATGGTATAATGACACAAATATAACTTTAATTTTTACTGTATACTTGTAGCCATGAAGGAGTCGGTGAATCCTGGCTGTCTTCATTTCCCGTAGTTCTTTTAACTAAAAGCAATCGTGGATCATCATAGCTAGCATGGAATAACTACTTCGGGAAGGCATCAGCCGTGAGCAGCGGTACTTGTATTATATAATCTGCTGTTTCACAGTGCAGTCAGCCCCAAGACCTGTGCTTTTCTGAAAACAGCCGTGGCCAGGTTGGAGCTTGTTTCCTTAAACAGAAACATGTTCCCAGTCAGTAGAGACTATATCACCTCATTCCAAAACCCGCAGCCTTCTTGCAAAGCCTGTCCGTCTTTGTGAATATAGGGACATAAATTGGGCCAAGGGAAGAGGATAATAGGTGGGGAGTGAGAACCTTTCCCTAGCAACACCCCACCTAGAGTGGGCTGTATTTTTAAGATTACACACCACACTGCAAGGTTTTATATTTTACTAGAATAGTGGTTGTCATTGGGGCTTCCAGATGCCAGAAGTCACCTGAGTATCTGGAGCCTATGCTTCCTATTAGACACAAAAACTGGAACCTTCTAAGCAAATCCACCCAAGGAGGCCCGTGTTTTAGGAGAGAACTCGTTCTCTGAGTGTAGTGAATCCTCAGGTCTGTGATGTAAAAGCCCTTTCCAGACAAGCTAAGGGGTGGCCCGGGTCACTTTATTTTCACATCTTCCTTAGGAGCACAGCTATTATTATTATTATTATTATTATTATTATTATTATTATTATTTTACAGAACTAGTCAGTAATTAGTGCTGATCGGCCCAAAGATAAGTGTTGTCTAAAAGAAGCTGCACTCTCTATATAATACAGACTTGTTTCAATGGAACAAGCTCTCCATTACATGGAAGACTTGAGAAATGTAAGAATTGCTGGATTTAGGCTCACTTTGCTTTAAACAGAAAAATAAATGTTCTGTAGTTAAAAACAAACCCAGCCCACACCAAACATAAAGACAACTCAGCCCACTTTAGAGATCAGACCCTGAAGGACATAGAATCGGGTATTTGCTCATAGAGTGCTGTTGACACACTTCTAGTCCTTGATATGCAGCCTACGAGAAACCCTGGAACTCACCTTAAGTTAAACCTCCACAGTCACAACGAAATTTCTGAATTGGTACAACAAAATAAGGGCTTCAGGTAGTTGCTTATTCTAAAATTATAGGCATATTCCATGGGGGCTAGAAATAAAATTGTCTGATAGGAAGCATATAATGATTTTACTATGCAATTTTAAAACTGGTGTTTTGTTTGTACCTGTTCAAATCATGGTGATGCTTGATAACCTGAACGGAGTGAGGAGCTTAGAATGTGATCATTTAGCCCCTTCATCCTTCTGGAACTTTTTTCCTGATGGCACGTTTTGGGAGAATCTCTGACCAATTGAAAGGATGATGAAATGTGGTGGATTGATTAGATCAGTTTCACATTTATCATCTAATGGTGCCACATTGTACTCTTTGCTATTGATTGGAACTGACCTTGGCTATTGACTAGGCAGGTAATGAACTTGGTGACTGAGCCTCCTGGCCTCTGGCTTTACATTTGGATCAGTTTTACTGACCCAGCATATGCAGGCTGGTGTGTCTTCTGGGCCTAGGAAAGTAGAGTCATCTAAGGGACGTCCCTGGACTTGTACCAGCAGGTGGCACGGAGTGAACTGTCCAGGTGAAGCAGAAGCAGTGACTCCTGGACTCCTGGGTGGCAGCATGATGGAGGGGAAAGAGCACTGAGTTGTGAGTCAGGGACCTATTGCAAACTCATAATGTGGCCTTGAGCTAATCTGAGAGCCCTGCTCTCTGTAAAAAGCCAGGTCACATCTAGCTCCAAACAGCTAATTCCTTTATAGTATCTTACTAGATAGATAGATAGATAGATAGATAGATAGATAGATAGATAGATAGATAGATATTGGCTTCCTTCTGCATGCCCTCTTCTGAGAATCGAGCCAAAAACCCGGGCGTGTGACCTAACCAAGAATGGAACCAGTGACCTCTCAGTGCATGGAACAGTGCTCAACCAACTGAGCCGCACCAGTCAGGGCTATAGTGCTTTAATTTTTATTTTAAAATAAATTTATATTTAAAGAAGAATTGCACAATTCATACAGATTATTCCCATGTTCCTTTTAACTACTAATCTCTGATGTTAATATCTTACATATCTATGATATATTGATCAAAACTAAGAAATTAATGTTGTAGTCCTGTAAAATCTTATTTTACATAAGATTTGTTTAAAAGGATGCAAGTACCTGAGTGTCTTAAAAATTAAAAAATACACAGAAAGGATATTGACCTGGCCGGGTGGTTCAGTTGGTTGGAGTGTTGTTCCATCCACCAAAAGCTCACAGGTTTAGTTCCCAGTGAGGGCACATAACTAGGTTGTGGATTCTATTGCTGGTCGGAGTGCATAAAGAGGAGGCAACTGATCTATGTTTCTCTCTCACATCAATGTTTGTCCCTTTTCCTTCCTCTTTCTAAAAATTAATAAAAATATATCCTCTGGTGAGGACTTAAAAAAAAAGAGGATGTAAACAAAAAAGTCATTTGTTGAGATATGAATTATTGGATCTTTAAATCCCCCAATGCAGTTAAGTTGGAATGTTTTTAATAAGGGTTTTTAAAAATAATATTCTATACTCAGATGTTCTTGGTCTTCCTTATTGATGGGAAGCAAATTGAATTAAACGACTACAGCTTATTTATACATAAACTGTCTTCTAAGCAAAACTTAAACATCCAACACATCCCTTGCTTAATCCAATCAATCAAACGTGAGAAAACAGTACCTTTTCTGTTGGGATAACTTTTGTTTCCCCAAACCCCTACCTTGGCAGCTGGTAGGATTTGTTTGTTCTCTTATTTTTATTGTTGTCATTGTTTGCTTGTTTGTTAATGAAAGGCAGATTTTAGGCCTCTGGCATTTCTTCCTAAAAGATCTCCACCCTCAGGGAACAGGCTGGTAGCTTCCTTTCTGCTAGATTTTGGTTTACTGCTTTTCTTTCCAGAGTTACTACAGTTACCATATTGGCAGAGTTGGCTTAAGGTGTTTGTAAATAATCTAGGGTTGAGCTGCAAATCACAAAAAGAGGGTTGTTTCTCTTCAGACAAATAATGAGCGTTAGCGAGGTCTGCACCCACCCCCCCCATCTGGGAGAGCGTTTGTCAACCATTCTTCAGGGCAATTCTGAAATAAGGTCATGTCACTCCAGATTCAAGACTATACTTAAAAATGTACCAGCACTATTCCTATCCTTGAAATAAAATTTAAAAAACTCACTTTGACTAGAAACTGACTTTAATAAATTCATGATTTTAGGATGTGACTATTTTAAATGTTCTCTTGTTCACTGCTTTTCTTTCTGGAGTCTGTATAAAGACATGGAAAACTCCCTGGTCTCAGGTTGTGCATGATCTGAAACAGGTCCTACATATGTATTTTCTGTCAGAACGGAGGCGGCTACCTTTGAATGCCTACCTGTTCTAAGCATTCTTTTCAACTGTGAAGTTTCCTTGTAGGATTCTGATCCTACAGGAACAAGAAATAGAGTGTGAAATCCTATTTCCCACACATGTGTTAGGGCAAAGGAAAAGAACGAGAGAAGGTTGTATAGACCGCTGTACATATAGAACCAGCTCTGTTCCTCTAAATATAACTAAACGCTTGGAAGGAACCACCACAGGGCAAGAAGCCAACGGGTCTTTCTAAAAGAAGTCTGCGTACAATTACACGGGGTGGTGACCTGATTTTCCATGTAATGTCAGAGCAGCAGCTGTTTACCAAGTATTTTTTGGTTTGTATTAGGAATCAATGCATGTGCTCAATTCTTGGGATGTAGATAAATAAGTACGCAAGTAATTTATAGTGAAGGAGAATAAGACAGAAGTGAACCCTAAGGTGCCCTTTTCACCATGGGTCTTAGTAGTAGACAGATGGAGAATATTTACCCTTCACTATTTGAGCTAGTTCCATCTTTCCCTTTGCTTTACTTATCAAAAGTTCTTATTTTTACAGTTGTGATCAAGATTATATTTTAAAGATATTAATCATACGTGTTCTGCTTTCGTCTCCTCTCTCTACATTATAATCTGCCATTAGAAGCCTGGGAAGGATAGAGAGCAGATAGCATGATGGGGATGATATGAGGCTAGGATGTAGAGGAAGTCCCATGCAGACAGGAAGAGGAAGTTGAAAACCCAACACTATTGGTCTCTAGTGAATTGTGGGAAGAAGAATATGGGAAATGTAGGGAAAGCAAATTATGAAATAAATTGCCATAGTGACCTTTCTTC